CCAGGATCTTTCCACAATTCCTTTCTGTCCCTGAAGTTACTGTTTTCTTCATTTCTTTCCAGATTGTTAGATGTGCAGTTACACTTTTTTTTTCTTTTTTGTGTTGGTAAGCCTGTGTGGGCCTAACTCTCAGCATCTGGGCTGTCACCTGCTCAGTATCACAGGAGTGTAGACAGCAGAGCAATGACTGTGAGAACTGGGGACGAAGGGGAATCTAAGCTAGGAGAAATAAAAACAAATAACGGTATGTAATACCTGAATATGAAAGAGGGAAAGAGAAATACTTGAGCAATGAGATGTAGCCAAGAAAAGGAACAAAGGGTTAGGAGCAGAAGAGACGAATAAGGAAGGCAGAGCAAAGTCAGCCTACTGACAATGTAGCTCAGAAGAAGGAAGTCTGAATCTCCCAGAGGAATGGAGCACCATGATAGAGTATTTAAGAACGCATCCCTGCAATAAAAGAGATTTCCTATTAAATACCTGCATGCTGCAAGTAAGGGCTATCAGTTTAGAACGGCACAGTATTTGACTTGAAACAACAAACCAAAAACCAGGTGTGGTGGTGCATACCATTGAGGCTGAGGCAGGAGGATAGTGAGTTCTCAGACAGACTGGGCCGCATAGCAAGAGCCTGTACTCTGCCTTCCAAAGAGGAGTAAAATTTCTTCGTGTACACAGATGCAGCTTAAGAGGTAAACTGAGTATCCAACAAAAACATCATGGCTTTCAAAAAGCCATACTTTTATGTCAGAACAATATAGACAAATATTTGTTTTTAAAATAAAATGATTAAAGAATTTCAGAAAAATTTGATTTCTATCCTGAAAGTCTTCCTGTGCTCCATGACTCAACAAATTGTCAACGTTTGAGAACTTGGTATAAGGACATTGCTGTGACCCTTTCTCAGGAATCCCTAGATCACACCTATAGACAGCCAAAATGAACAGAGATCTCCAAACAGTGCTGACTTGTGTTCCAAGTCTAGGCAAACTGGGGGTAGCTGTAAGCATAGGTTTTAGGCAGTGTGGATTTTATACTCTGAGAACAAGGGGTCATGTTTCCTGCTACTGGAATATGCAAGCATTCATAGGACCTTTTCAAATGTGAAGTCTGGCTGTGTTGATAGACCACATAAAAAAGAGTAGTTGGCAGAATCTGGCCAGGCCTGGAACTTGCTCACCCTGATTCGGGCATTTGGTGTAAAGGTTGTCACTACTAAAACTCTGTGAGTGTCAATGAAAAGGTGCTTGAAAGCCCAGTCTTACCAAGTTGACGCTGAACTCCGCCGAGAATTTGAAGCAAATACTGAGCTAGTTCCGAGGACCTTGCCACCACAGACAGGTAAACTGTGATGCCTGAGGTGCGGGCACAGTTAGCTGCTCTGCTGTAGATACATTGAAAAGCAAGTAAAGAAAGCAGACCCGGGCAACCAGCAATGTAAAAGTGATGTAGAAAATTCAGCACGGTTCTGGGTTTTCGGACTGAACACCGGCGTGATAATGCCACAGGGAAAGGCAAGGTAGAGACGACTGTGGCGAGCCGCTTGCTGATTATGCTCAGGGAACGCGGGACCGCGGCTCCACCAGAGCCCGCATGTCAAAAGGTGCCCGGGTCACTGGTTGCTTTTCGTTTATTGATCCGGGGAAGGGAGGGGTGATTGCTGGAGTGTTTGTGTTGAGATCACCAGGCTCTCGACTTATTAGTGCTGTTTCCCTCTTGTTGCTTCATTCCACAACAAAAAGGTCAAGGCGTGCGTAAGAACCAGTCTGGTAGAGATAAGCTATCTTCATTTATTTGAACAGCTGTGGGAATAGACAAATATAGGCTGTAAAACATGGAACTCCTTGGCAGGCAGTCGGGCCAGAAAAAGGGGTAAACTCTTGCCAACGGGTGATTTCTATCACCCTCAGTCGCTATCCCTTCAACGGCTAGCCTGCACTGCTTGGAAGTGTAAGGCAGTACCAAATGGTGCACTTTTCAGTGCGAAGACTGCTGGCCTGCATTCATACATAAATTATGCTCAACTTACAGTTGTTGATTATAAAATATTACCATTTCTTTTCTGGTAAATACAGTGCTTTCTACCTTACTGCTCACACATTTTTTTTGTATCATTTTAAGCTCACAGAACAAGCTTAAGACAGTGCTGAAGCAAACACAACCCCAAGGGCGACAACCTCTTATTTGACGCCTGCTAATCGGCCCTCTGTCAGATGGATACTGCTATTTTAATCATGCTGGTACAATGTCTCCAGTTAGCATCTCCAAGTCACTGAATTCCCAGACAGAAATGCGTTTTCAAAACACCATATTTAAGCTTGGTGCCTTCGACATAAATTGTCCTTCTCTTTGATTTGAACAAATTTTGAGACTGAACAAATAATTGAATATTAAAACGGTGTGGACATTCTCCAACACCACGGTGTATGGGGAAGAGTGGATACATTTTGATCATGTAAGCACCTGCCAAGTTTTGAAATCCATTTGCCCCTATGGCCCATCTCTGGCTACAATACTCATGTATTCCACTAAGTTTTATTCACAAAATTAACAGTCCCAAGAATGATTAGCTTAGAAAACAAAATGCTGCAATACCTTAAATACAAAGCAACCTTAGTTCTAAGGAGCAGTGTTACTTTGGTCTATTTAGATAGTGGTAGTATATAATCTGTTGAAATGGAAGACAAGATTTCAAATCAGAGAGTGGAAGTCTTCCTATTCCACTGGTAACCAGCCCGAGAGAACTACATATAAACCCTTCATTTCCCAGGCGACATGCACACAGATGGAAGACACTTGCTCGGGACAGGAGTGCATGGACACGCCTTTTGTTGCCTACTTTCACAGGGCTTTTAAAACACAGCAGCTTAGTGAACGTTTCGCAGACTCCAGTCTCAGGAGCCAATGCAAGCCAAAGGGTCTTGATCACCACACCACCAGCAAGGGCATCCCTGCAAGGAAGGCTTTTGAGAGCTGTAAGCAAGCAATTAAAATGGAAGGGAAGCATTTTCTAGACTGCAGTGGAGCTTTGATTTAAGCAGAGGGGTGCGAGAAGGCAGCATCATTTTCCAAACACATTGCTCTTCTGTAGTGAGACTCAAGTCATAGCAGTCTTGGAGGTTTTTTTTTTTTTTTTTCTTAGAAATCATAGATTTAGGCAAGGGTTTATCAAAGTCTGTCCTATGATAAGCGTTTCCAGGCTTTCATGCATTTGCTTAATTATTTTACTTCCTAGTTTCATATTTGATGCAGACTTTATATGTTGAAGCAAGCAACCGAAAACCTTATTGCTAAAGGCAAACCTCAGACTCTAAAAGAGGCAAATGCAATGCTTGCCACTCTTTCCTCCAAGTATGTTTTCCACCACAGAAATCAAACTTTAAAATTATTGAGAATTATTAAAGCACATTTGTACTATTGGAAAACTTCAAGAACACAATTAATTCAGTTATTATATAAGCAACAAAAACCACATTTCAGGTTTGTACATTGAGGTCCAGGCTCAGAGAATAAAGGATAAGAAAGATTGTGAGACAATGAGGAAATCTCATGGGTAGCTTGACTGTTTCTCACAAAATTACTCATTTTAATGAGAGGCTTACATCTGGCTCTTTTACCATGGCAACAGGTAGAGAACCTGTACCCAGAAGGTTACAGTATAATCTTCCTTATGCGCATAAGAGGCCCTGATGCACCTTAGTGATTGGGCTGCAATGAACTAATTTGAGTGTTTTTTACTCAGCCCTGAATAACATTTTCTGACATTAAAGGGGGATAGAATATCAAGCTGGGTGACACCCTTGACCACATCTTGGTTTTGGTTTGGGTCTAGCTCTGTCCCTTTCTGTCTCAGCATTTCTTACCTTCCTCCAATTCAGATTAATCCCTTGTTCCCACACTTAGCAAGCTTGCCTCCACCTCCTGTGACATGCCAGCAGTGAATTCCCCAGAGGCTCATATGTTGGGAATTTTATTTCCAGAGCCCTTACGTCAGTGGACTTGGAGGTGTGGACTTTGGAAGGAACAGGATTAGAGGGATTACAGGGATCAGACCTTTACGACGACATTAGTGACTTTGGAGGAAATGCAAGCATGCATTCTGCCATGTATTTGGTTCCCTCTGCCAGGTTATGGTACAGCCAGAAGGCCCTTCCTTGTCAGGCACAAGGCACCATGCTCTTGGCTGCCCTGGTCTTCAGAAGAACATGCCAAGCAATGTTCTGTTCTTAAAAGTTATTCAGATGTGGGTATGTTGTCATATAAATCAAAAGACAAATCATCCTATAACCAGTACTTCAGTTATTTTTCTTTTGGGGGTTATTTATTTCCTTAAGGACTTGAAGAAGAGAGTATTAGGGTCTAAAAAAATCTTTAGAGGAAAAGAAATGAGTCTATAAAGGTGAGTTCCCAGGATTCTTGAATCTTTCTTATGGTCTCTGTGATGGCTAAGCTCCCCCATGCTCCCTGTGATGGCTAAGCTTGGCTGTCAGTTTGATTGGATTTAGACTCCCAGGAAATTCTTTACTGGGTCAGCAAGGTTGGGAAGAACCATCCTGAATATGAGCACCACCTGCCCATGGTCCAGCACTGAATCAAAAGGAGAGAGAGAATGGAGGTGGGTGGTCCTTGGACTTCCCACAGGGCAGGGAACCCTGCTTGCTCTTTGGGCTGACGAGGGAGGGGGACTTGATTGGGGGAGGAGGAGGGAAATGGGAGGCGGCGGTGGGGAAGAGACAGAAATCTTTAATAAATAAATATATAAATTAATAAAAA